CGGACGAGCGTGCCGTGGGCTTCGCCTATCGGTACAAGGTTGAGGTTTGTGGTGGTGTATGCATTTCATGGGCCGCACCGTAGCTGCTGAAGTTGTGGCAGTAGGATTGCAGCCACTTGGAGAGCGTACCGCGCTGCTGCGCGTAGCCAAAGCGCTCGTCGAGGAGGATGATCGCGCCATAGTCGTGACGGTGGCGAATCACTCGGCCGATCGCTTGGTTGACGGCGCGCGCAGCTTGTTGCACGTACCAGTTGTTGCCTGTGAGTTTCTACACATGGCATATGTCACGAATGAGAACTTGGTTCGTGGCATTTCGCAGCGCACCGACTCGCCGGGGGGCACAATCGCTTGGTCCAAAAACTCCTTTTTGAGGACAATCTTGGGGTCCTTGATCGGTGCAAACGGAAGGCCGGTGATGACGACCGCGCGGCCGTTCTCGTTGGAAAAGTCAATGCCTTCGCTGACCTTGCCGCGACACACCGCCATGAAGATGGCGCCCTGCGGATTCGACTTGATTTCGTCGTGGTACGCCGTCACAACGTCAGCAAACTCGAACCGGTTCTTGGGCTCGACATGGATCGTCTGTCCCGACACATCATTGTCGAATGGTGTCGCTCGGGATGCATTACCTTGAGCTGCAAGAGACGGTCCCAAATGCACGGTTGCTGGTTGGCGGGCTTGAGCTGCCAGTGCGCAACGCATTGGTCCATGATCGTGTACGACGGGAAGAAGATGAGAAGGCCATTCGGCACGAGCCGAGCAAAGTTGATGAGCGTGTTGCCGAGCTCGACGAGGTACTCGACCGAGCTCCGGTATTGGTAGCTGCTGTTGAGGCGCTTCCCCGTGACGCCAACGCCCACGACGCCGAGCCACACTTGCGACGCGTCAACGACATGACAGTTTTCGAGCTGAATGGGAAACGGAATCCCCAGTTCTTTGGTGGTGGTATCGAGTGGCGAAAGCGTCCCGCTATAAGAATTCCAATCATAGTTGAGCAGGACAGTGTGAAGCCGGGTGTGCAATACCTCGTAAGGATGATGTTGTGGACCTTTTGATCGTAAATTTCTTGCATGGCGACGCCCGGATGGAAGCACCAGTAGTGGAACCAGCGCATCGTCTTCATGACAGGAGGCCCCGACTGGTACCGTCGGGATGTTTGCGTCCTACTCGTTCCTTCTCAATACATAAGAATCAAGTTGCAAGGACGACGAACTCTTCTTGGATATGCACGCGGAATTGTTTGGTCATCTATGCATGCCAGATTGCAATAAGAATAGGATTCAGATATATTGCAACCTTGTGGTGGTTGTCCTTGTCCCGGAAGATCGTCTTGAGGAACGAGACAAGGCTCTCGAGCTTCGAGTTGCGCGGGTTGCTCGCATTGCCGCCGTCCGTGATAGCCTCGATCACTTGCTCCGAGATGCCAAGAACCATCGGCGCCGTGTCGAACGAGATGTTGAACGCCTTGAAAAAGTCAAAAATGTACTCGCCCGGCTACGCAAGCATCCTGTCGTCTCGACAAAACCGAGATGTCGTAAATACCTTGGTGCAGCCGCCATCCTTGGAGACGGGAAACGAGAGAAGCCCTCGCTCAATCTCCATGAGCAGCTCCATGAGGGTGGTCACCGACTAATCCCATGATCTTGGCTTGGATCGAGACGAGCCAATGGTCGCTACCTGCGTGCTTAGGAACGAGCTTTCTTCCGGCACGTAACGCGAGGTCGCAATCATGCGATGGCACTCCTGCGCCTCCTTGATGCAGCCTTGAATGTCTTCGGTCGAGAGGCTGTACGACGCCGCCTCGCTCGCAATTGATTCCTGCATGGAAGCATGCATGTCCTGTAATAGGGATCAGAGAAGACCACGTACGACGTTGTGAGCTTCGTCAAAGATCAAGATGGCGTTCTCGAGGGAGACGCCGAGGGAGGCGCGGAGGGGCGGGTCCACGAGGTAGTTGTACGGCATGAAGATGACGTTGGCCTTGGACAGCATGTCGCGGCTTGCGTAAAACGGGCAGATCTACATCATGCGTCGATACTTGCTACTGCAGAGCGCCGAGAAGGCAACCTGTCGCTCGCGGTTGACGGTCACGAGCTCTTCAATGTCCATGATGCGCGGATTGCCGCCCTTCTTGGACTGGTCGTAGCCCGATTTGAAGATGCAGCTAGTGCCATGGCATCGTCGCATTCGGGATGAAGAGGAAGCATGGGGTACCGCATCTGCTTGGCGGCTTGGCGACACGAGTGGTTCTGCTGCGTTCCTCGCATCTTGGAGATCTCGGGGTGGACGCAGAGGTGCTCGCGCGATCCAAGGATCGCGACCTTGGGCTTGTACGCGGTCTGCTTGAGCTCCTTCACGACCTGCTTGAGCTGCGTATGCGTCCGCGACGAGTAGATGATCTTGGGCAAGACGTCGT